CTGAAAGGTCACTAATTCCCTTAGCCCTTGCGAGCTTCCTGTTCTAGCACCAAGTGATAAGACAGCCAGGTGAGGCTCACAGCTCCCCAGGCCTCGCACGCTACCGGTGCAACATCAGTGCCCACAATAACGACAGCAAGTGATACATTGCGGAAGCTGTTTTACAGGCCATCGGTCTGGGTACTTTTAAATGAGAGGGTGTGTTGACAGCAGGCCATGGAGAATGCCCATCGGGATCAGAGCAAATCCAGGCAATTTAGCAGAGCACACACTGCCTTGGAGAAAACCACAAATGCTTCTTGCAGCAGAGCATGTTTGTTTCACTGCTTTTTTCCACCCTTGTGTAGAAGGGGGTTTTGTTGTCAGGCAATGTGAATTATTGCTTCAAGGATAACACACGACTGCTTCCACAAAGGTTTTGTCTACACTACAAGGTTTTTGTGCAAAAATCGTAATTTTTGCACAAAAACCGGCGGAGCGTTCTCACCTCAAGCATATTTTTGCACAAAAAACCAAACAATCAGTAAATCAAACAAAGAGAATTCTTTTGCCATTAAAACCAAACAAACAGAGGGCTTTTGCCAGTGGAGTTATTCCTGTCCCCACGAGGGATAACTCCTTTTTGCACTACAGCTCTTGCACAAAAAGGCATGTGTGGACGCTCCACAGGGGTTTCTTGTGCAAAAAGAGCGTATCAGAAAAAGCGCAGGTGCTCTGATGGCCATTCTGTTAATGGCCATCAGAGCTTTCTTGCGTAAGAGCGTCCATGCAGTGTGGCCGCTGTCTTGCGCAAAAGCAGATGGCTTTTGCGATGCACTTTTGAGGTGTGGACGCGCTTTTCCGCAAAAACTTCTTGCGCAAGATCTCTTCCACATAAAGATTCTTGCACAAAAATCCTGCAGTGTAGACAAAGCCTAATAAAAAAATGACTACAAAAGTCTACAGAAATCATCCAAAGCAGGATCTCGTAGGATAGCCACACTGCAGCAGTTCAAAGGAATACAGCAATGCTGTGTTTTTATCTCATGCTCATCAATCTCCCTGCATTGGCTTTGCCCTGCACACATGACAGAGGCACATTCTTAGCATGGAACACCTTCAAAATCCAGACGTTGTTTTTTCAGCCAGCAAATCAAGGAAAACGGCAGGTCTCATTTCTCCTGTGCCCCGACCCAGAATCCCAATTGGATGGAGATGGACAGAGAGATCCATCCATCCAGAACACAGCCAGTCAGTCCAGGCAAGCAAGCTGAATACTCCCAAACCTGGCACAAAAATCACATCTTGTTTTTAATTAGGATTGTCAGTCTATTAAGTGTTCACCCAGTAGAAGAGCTGATGTGGGCAGATTACTGCATGAGCTCTGGAGTGTAATTCAGCACCAAGCACCTACTCTCATTCCAATTTCTAACAGAAGAGAGGGCTGCAGCAGATGCACTGCAGAGCAAGATGAGTTTGAACTGGACCAGTAAGAGCATCCTGCCTGCTCTCTGATAAAGATGTGAGCAGCCAGGAAGTGGCCAGAAATATCCAGAGGTGACTGAGTGAGCCTGCGCTTGTGCATGAACTCTCGTTTAAAGCCGTAGCTAATGATGGACCAACTTCACCTCCTCACAGACTCCAGCGCGGAGGCACCCAGGATGGGTTTCGTGCAGCGTTTGCATTTTTGACCTTCAAGAGATAGACTCTCCTTAACATGGCGTGCCTTGAACAGCAAGCCCTGCCCGTGAGGGTTTGCTGCAGGGAAAAGCTGGCCCCAAAATGGTCCAGCTGGGCTGTACTTTGGGCCCCACCCTGACATCCCTTCCTGATGTTCGTCCCACCGATACCAGTACGGACTGCTGTGAGAGGAGAGATCTGCAGGAGTGAGATCCTTGTTCATGCATGTCCTGCATGCTCATTGGGGTACTGACTGCCTGCTTTGCTACCTGTCAGCACAGGGCTTAGCGCCGTGAGCCATTAGCCTTGGCTGAGATTTATAATATA